GTCGTGCTGCACTACACATACAGTACGTCTGCCCTGTTCTATGGGAAGGAAAATTATCTATATTTGTTTTATTACGTCGCCCAGAACGAGTTATATAAATGAGCTGTTGAAATCACTGAGTCACTAGCTGGGAATTATTATTATTATAATCAAGGGGGAAGCGCTAAACCCGTAGGACTATACAGCCCTGGGGGGGGGGATGTGGAAGGCATTCAGGCATAATTCGGGGAACTGGAGCACAGATCCAATTCCCTAAATCAAGAGCCCCTCACCAACATCAAGGAACCTTCCCTGAGGGGACTAGCTGGGAAGATTTGAAAAGGAGAGTGATGAGGATATTAAGTATTCCACTATGGGTTCAGTAGCTATAAGAGCTTAGAACTTGGAGAGGAGGCAGGTAGACAGGTAGGAGACACAAAGGGAAGGAGGGGTGGGTAGAGGTATGGAGACAGAGAGAGGAGGGGGGGGGGAGCATTGAAAGACCAGGACCATTCTTCATTGTGTGCCGTCAGCGGGCGGGTGGTCGTCCGTGTATCATTGTGCAGGTCTTCTGAACCAGGGGGCTGATACACTCCTCTTATCTCTGTTTGCCTTATGAAAACGTTGTGTAAGTTTCAAGAATATAAAGTATTTTGTGAAGTAACATCTCGACAACAACTTCTAAGAGTTTCAAGAATACAGATGCAGTACATCTATTATATAGTGTAAAATCTCGGGAGCAGTGTGTTGTGGGGGTATGTCTACCTGGAGGTCATTCTGGTGATCAACACCCCCGCGGTCCGGTCCCCAACCAGGCCTCCCGGTGTATTAGGGCCTGATCAATCAAGCTGTTACTGCTGGCCGCACGTAATCCAGTGTGAGCCACAGCCCGGGTGATCGGTAGGGTTAGCAGTAGCAACATACCATGAGTAGGCTATTTGTGCCTACTAGAAAGGTGCTATCATCTTGTCATGGATTTGAAGTTTGAAGTTTTTCAGATGTTTGTTATATCAGGGGGATGTCTTGGTGTTGGTGAACAGCTCCTGAGCCTAGGAATCGAAGCTACCATCTCTTTCTGTGGATCAGGTCTAATTACCTGATTCCCCAGATGCTGTATGGTTTCTGTGAGTTTAGCTCTTTCCCATGAATGTACAGTATTAATTGATATATTTGCACTCTGTTATGATAATAGAATTTACCTGCCAAAATGCTAAACCTGTACACCTTGTAAAATTTGTATTCACCAAAGAGTACACTTAACTTTTCTTTTTTCTTAGTCTTGTGATGATCCCTACAAACAATAAAATACAAATATGTATAGTAATATCATGTAAATACAAGTCCTGAACAGTTAGAAAGGCTGGTGAAGGAATTTGGGAGGGATTGCAAAAGAAATTAAAAGAGAATGAAGAAAAGAGCAAGGTGATGAGAGACTGGATATTAGATTGAAGGGGAAAAATATGGATGGAATGAATGTATTCAGATATTTGGGAGTGGACATGTTGACAGATAGGTTTATGAAAGATGAGGTATACCATAGAATAGATGAGAGAAGAAAGAAAGGTAATGTGTCAAAGCATCTGTGGAAAGAAAGAGAAAGCTTATAGGCAAAAAGGAAAATGTACCAAAGTACTGTAGGATTACTAATACTTTTACATGGGTGTGAGGCATGGGCTTTAAATGATGCAGCAAGAAGACTGGAAACAGTAAAGATGTTATGTTTGAGAGCATTGTGTGGTGTGATTATCAGTGGCAGCTTGTCAAAAAATAGAATGGGGTGACTGCAGCTCCTTGCTGCCAGATGTCACACCAGTAATACCTGTACTATTGTACCACATCAAACTTCTATTTTTAATCATTTTTTTTATCTCATTTCAACAAAATTTTTTTTTATAAATACATTGAAAACAATGTACAACAGATTTTCCCTGTAATATATTTGTCATTTGCAAATTGTTCTAGCGCATGGTTGATGAAGTCATACATCTGGGGACACTGCAGCTCCTATGGACAAGCTGCCACTGGTGATTATGAAGAGAATTCAGAGCATGGAAATTAGATGTGGGGGTTATGATAGGTCTAGTTCAGAGGCTGTGGAGGGATTGACGTGGTTTGAGCATTTATGTATAACTGTGGAGCAGCATAGGATGATGAAGAGGGTGTAAAATTCTGAGGTGAATGGAAGGAAAAGCAAGGACCATCCTGGCATGGGTTTGAGGAAAGTAAAACAATCTTAAGCATCCAGCAACTTAATGTATAGGAAGATAAGTGGATTTTATGGCTTTATGTATTACTGGAGTGTGAGCAGGGTAATATTTATGGAGGAATTCAGGAAACCGGGTAGCCGGCTTTGAGGTCTGGTGGTGTAAAGTACAGTGCCTGCACTGTGAAGGAGGGGTGATGATGCAGTGCACAGGGCTATTTGAATTGTGATGTCAGCATACTTTTGGAAAGAGGCATTTGGATGAATGAAGATGTTCCCTTTTTTCTTTTGGCAGTGGGGGGGGGGGTGCCCTACCTCAGTGAGAAATGACCAGAGTTAAAAAGAAAAATTAAAAGGGAAGCACTACATTTGTACAGGTCATACAGTGCCAGGGAAATGGTTGGTAATCGGGTTTCATCTGAAGAAAGGGATATTAGCTCTTTGGAATAAGTTCTTTACCTGAATTCATAGTGCATTACTGTACATGTCTTAAAGTATGACAACTCTTATGTTCACACTAGGCAAGTATAGTGATCCCAGGTAACAGAAAAACAGTAATAGGATAGCAAACAACATAACTTGTTTACATTAAAATTTTAATTTTGTTTTATTTGTGAACTGTAAATTACATGTTCGTGTGTATTCATCAATTACTTTCACAAAATTAGGAAAGTATATGTATTCACAAAAAAAAAAAAATGGTACTGTGAATTCCCAATTAGTATGTGTGTTGTATATGTTATACACTACCCACACACAGGAGACAAACTTAACGTTTCAATCTGGCTTGGTTTAGTAACTAGTCACACAGTTAATGGTGCAAAAGTTGGGTCAAAACCTCGTCTCCTGTATGTATTGTTCCAGTCTCAGAATTGTACCTTTTTATTCTTCTTTGTAAATATTTATTACTATATACCCCTCAAGGGAGGTTCCTTGATGCTGGTGAGGGGCTCTTGATCTAGGGACCTGGATCTATGCTCCAGTTCCTAGAATTGAATCTGAATACCTCCCATTCCCCCCCTCCCACATGTGCTGTATAACCCTAACAGGTTTAGGGCTCCCCCATACTTTTAATAATATTACTTATAACAATAATATAGTATACAAAAATTTATTAACAGTATACATATATAAAAACTGATTATTAAAGTCACTTCACATGTACAGGACTGTACTCTTTTTACTCCATTAAGAAAATGGAATAAAAATAAAATGCAGAATACGACCCAGCCTATTCAACATCTTGCTAGACCTCACAAAATCATAATAACACAATTGCAAACAAACCATGTTACAGGTGAGGTTAGAACCCATGACAAGTGAATTGTAAAGCTCCAGGGCAGTGCGTAAGCCACTGGGCCTGGCCACGCTGGCGGGAAATTCACATGTAAAAACTTGCATTTGTAGTCACATTGGTGTCCTTGCTAACCTCCGTGTGGTGTATAAATATACCTAGTTGGATTAATCTCATTGTAGCCAGCTGATCCAATGGCTTATGCACTGACCTGGAGTTTTGCAACTCATATGCATGGGTTATCTTGCCAGAATAATAATAGTAACATAATCAAATGAAGTGTTAAACCTGAGAGATCTTACTGGAAGATGATAGAAATTCGGCAAGAACAAGTGTAGAAGTTAGCTAGACAACTACCTCCTCTAAGTGCTGTATTAACCAGGCTATGGATATGTGGGCAGTCAGCAGCAAGAGTATGGCCCAGGAACTCAAAACCCTTCAAAACTATGTGAAAAGTACAGATAATTTTAGCATATTGGACTTTTGCTCCTACTCTTCACTGAAAGTTTTATATACATGTACAAGGTTTTACATATTTGTAGGAAATAATTGATCAAACACAGATTATGTCAATTTCCACTTTTGGGAGAAAAAAATTGACCTATGAGGGTAAAGAAAAAAAAAAACATGCGCTTTAGCTTTATGATAATTTTAGCATATGAGACAAAAAAAAAAAAAGTCTCAAGCTAAAATTATTGTAAGCCTCAAGTTTATATATATATTTTTTTACCATACCTAATTCACTGAAAGCTTTATATACATATGTACACATTTGTAGGAAGTAATTGAGAAACAGATGGATGTACTGTGTCAGTTGAAGAGAATAATAATTTATCTAGAAAACAAGGATTTCTGTGAATAATAATGGTTTACACTACCTTGTGTAGAGCAATATAATATTAGTGTATGCACAGAGTAAGTAATTACTGTACACCTTAATACAGTGGAACCTCGGTTTTCGTCAACTTTTTGTCCCAGTTTTCGTTGAGTTGAGTGGTCCGCCATACCGAACATGTCCGCCCGTGCCCACACAAAGTATCCCACGCGTTCCAAGTCTGTCTGGCTTTGTTTCTTGTCGGTAGAGGGTGGTAGTGGTAGAGATAACCTCTCCCCTCCTCACTGTCTTCCATGTGCCAACGAGTCTTCAGTAAAGGTAAAAGTGATGTTAAGTGTTCATTTATCCATTTCATTAGTCCTTTATATTTCTCATTGTTTTTCTGTATGTAAAACTATAGTTATTCTCTATAAATGTATATTTTGTTAATACTTTTGGGTGTCTGGAGCAGATTAATTTTGATTTACATTATTTCTTATGGGAAATATTGCTTCAGTTTTCGTCAGACTTTCTGGAACAAATTAATGACGAAAACCGAAGTTGCACTGTATACATTAATATTACTATAATTTTTAAGTGAAACCAGGATAAATTTTGCAGAGCAGTAAATAAAAGGAGTATATATGCATCTAAATTTATTAGTCTGCATAACTCAGAGTGAAAAACTATTAGTTTCTTTAATATTTCAGGAAGTGTCATGTGATGTTAGTGTGGCTGCAGTCGAGGCTGATCGTCGTGAGTTTTCTTTCACCCTGTATGATTTCGATGGTCATGGCAAAGTCACCAAAGATGTAAGTTGGAGTGTGTTTTGTGACCAAGAAATATTTGGTTCTAAGTAATATAATGTTACATTCCCCCCACCCCCAAAAAAAAATCTTACCATTGAGTAAACCTTTCTTCATTTACAGGATATTGCTGGACTTGTTCGGACAATATACGAAGCTGTAGGATCTTCTTTATCCCTTCCTCCAAGTGGGTCTCGAACCATTCGTGTTAAGCTAACTGTTGCCCCTGAAAACTGCAGAGGCCATCATGATTGTCAGGAGGCAAGAGAGAGCAAAAAAGATGATGATGATGAGCCTTGTGAACATCCATCAGGACGCAGTCATAGAAGACGAAAAGCACGAAGGAGATCCACCTCACTTCAGAGACATGAGCTGCTTCAAATAATTCAGGCAAATATGGAAAAGAATAACCTCTTTTACACTCCACTGCATCGTCGACATGATCACCACCACCACGACTATCACCATGATCATCATCATAATCGCAGACGTCGCCGTCATGGGTGTGGATGTGACCACAGTGGGTCACCACCTGATCCAGCAGAAGTCAAAGCAAGGCTACTAGAACCAGAATGCCCATGCCGACATACGCACTACCATAGTCATACTCATGGGGCAAATAGTACTGCCAGATCTGTTGGGTGTAGACGGCATAACCGGTCTCATTCCCATGACCTCTCGCACGACTCTCCCCATGTGTTTCGTTACCATTTACTAGATAAAACTTTTCAGCCTCTACCTCCTTCAAATACTCCTGACCAGCCACCATCTCCACCAATGGCTCACAATCCACATAACCATCAACAGCAGTATGAACATCAAACCAGACATTACCATCATCACCATCGCTCTAGGTCCTTTGATGCTGGGGACACTCAAGGTTCCTCACCAAGAGGGAGAAGTAGAAGGTTATCAAGAAGCCAACAACAAAATCAATCACAGCCACAAAACCAGCCAAAAGAACAACCACAAACTTCACCACAATTAAAACAAGAACACCAAGGTGGGAGTGAGGTGTCCCCTCATCACACAAAGCATCGCCATAGAGAAGCTGACCATGCACGTGCCATGGCTCAGGTTGTAGCTTGGTTAGAGAGGGGCTCATTATTTGAGTCACAAAAACCTGCCCCTTCTCCTGAAAGTGGTGGCATTAATGCTGTTGGAGGGGGCAGTGGTGCATGTCGGGAACAGACACATCATGTTCATCAGCATATTCACCACCATTATCATCATTATGCAGAAAAGCAGCCACCACCACTGCTTATTTGAGAGTGTCCTCACTGCCCCTCATCAAACATTACATTGACTATTACTATTAAGTGTTAACCAATACTAGGAGTTAAATTAATTTAACTTATAGTGAAGTCAACACAAATAGAAACCCAACCTTGTTAATCCATCCAGTAATGTTTGAGGGTGCAGAATGCCATTTTTTTTTCTAAATCAGCTATAGAAGAGCAGTCATAATAATGTTCCTGAACATAAAATGAATTATAAATTTAATATCTTTATGGTTATGTACAGAAAATGCAGATGTATTTATCAGGTTTGATAATGACCTCTTAAGTACAATAATACTAATGTACATTATTGCTATCAACAATTATATATTCTAACTTGTACACTGGTCCTATTTGTAAACTGTACAGAGTATTTGTGATATGACTAATGACCTTTACATGAGAATACGAATAGGTTTTCAGCATTGTTTAGATCTTGTTACTCACCATGTCTTCAACATTTTCTCAGAACAAGACTGACAAAGTGTATACATTACTCTTAAGATACTTAGCAACCTGGACCTTCATGCAGCTATTTCACAGATTTGTTTAATTTCCCTCTCCATTTTGTTCAGATACCATATAAAGTACAGTGTAAAAAATTCTTTTAACATTAGACTGTACTATAGTATATATTATCTTTATCATTTACAAATGCACACTGGAGGCCTTAATCCTCAACGTCAAGATATTCAGTTTACTTTCCCCTCGTAATTAAAAAAAAAACAAAGACGACTTTATAATAGAATTGATTGCTCTAGACCATTCAAGCGCTGTATAGCCCTTGTGGCTTAGCGACTTCTTTTTGATTATAATAATCTAGACCATCCGACAATTTCATAATGCAGACATACTGATGTTAATTTACAATGTTTAATAACACATCCTTTGGCAGGTGTAACTATACCAAAATAAATATAATGTGCATGTGGCCAAAGGGACTTAGTTGAGCACATCTCTATAATATTGTAAACTATATACCTGTCAATTGAACAGGTCATTGTCATTTATGCATTCCCTTTAAGTTCAAATTTACTTAAAATTAATACAAAGTTTTTTCTACAAACTATTTTTAAGATTGTTTCTAGGTAACCTTTCTTATCTGTGATTTTATGCATATACTTTTACCATTTAATATAAACGAGAGTAATTTGATAAAATTTTATTAATGAAAGGCTGAATATATCTAGATTAAGAGGATACTATAGACTGAAAAATTCAAATAAGCATAGTATCAGGGCTATGCAAATTTTGGACATCATCTTCATACCTTAGACATTCTTATCGTTTACAGCTGACCATACAGCAAAAAGTGCTAGGATTACTGATATACTAGTAATAAATATTTACCAATAAATATACTTTAAAGTACATTTAAAATAAAAGTTTATTCCATGAACTGTGTTAATAGTACATACAAGTTATATATATTTAGGGGTAGCCAGAATGTCATTGAATAGTGGCTACCAGTACAAAAATCACTGAAAATTTCTGTGGTGTCTGAAGCAGCTCAGACATTCTTGTGTAACCAGGCTCTAAGTGTGTTACCCTGGGGCAATACTATAAATCAAGTCATCCATTAAAAGTAATAATTAATGGATGCATGTGATCACAAAGAATATCTTATGTGCCACTAAATGTTGTCTTGCATTACAAGATTCACTGAAAATGTATATATATATTGCTATTGGTGACTTGTCAATCAGAGCATACTGACCTTTAATTGTACAAATTAAATACCATTTATGACGAGTAGAAACTAAGTCTTCTCTCAAGGTTAAGTAATACATTTGCTTCTAAATTTACAAGATTAAGGAAGAGTGGAGAATTATGGCAAATTGAATAGCTATTAATGTTAAATAGCTCTTATTATAGGCCTAAATGGAAATTTCATTTTGTATAATTGCAATATTCAACTGTGATGGACATAACTATCAATCGGAATACACAAAAAAGCTCACAGAACATTAAGCTTCCTAGCAGTAACTCTGGTTACAAAGATTTGGAAAGGAGAACAATTTATGACTCATCTAAACTACCTCATTAGGTTCACCATAACCAGACATTTGTATTTTTTGTATAGGTAGTTAATATGTAAAAAGTGTATATATTCATGTTATATGTTATTGTTGTGTACTTGATTTGTATTTGTTCTAAAATACATTCAAGGGTGTCATAACCATTTTCATTTGTCTCGGCAGTGCATTTATGACTTAAGTTAATGTTACAAAATATATTTAAATAAATGGTGCTTCAATTTATACTACATAAAACTATCATTCCCATTTTTTAAGTTATAGTAATACAGTTTTCACTGATAATGGAATATGTTCATACATTCAATAGCTGTAATTTTTTAAAAAATTTTGTACTGAAACTTGAAATGGCACTATCAAAACCGAGCTGAACTGTGCAGTCATATTTATTCAAAATGTGTTATATGTTTTGGTTATATAACCAGCTATAAAAGGCACAAATAAATGTGTTTCACAGCTTTTGCCTTTTAATTATACACCATGTTTTCATATAAAATACTTTCCTTATTATAAGTGCTCAAAATATTTTATCTACAAAATGATCAAAATACTTAGAGTGCTTAATAAACTTTGTATCTCAAGTGTTCAAAATATGTTATAAATATTGCTGTACACAAACAACCCCACCCCTTCATGGGGATGCTTTGATGTTAAAGGATTCTTGATTCAAGGCATTTAATTAAACTGCCCTCCTCTTCCTCAGATCAAACCCAATTCTACAGGTACTTCACTACGAAAAAAGTATCAAAAACAACTTGGGCTGATGAATAAGACATGCAGCACCAGAGGACAGCAAACAGATTGAAGGTATCTTCTGTACCAAGATTCCATGGTGTTGCTGCCAGATAATTATGGTAATACAATGCAGGTCAATATTATATACCATTACTGCTATCATACCTGTCTAACAGAAACGTCATGAAATTTTAGTATAGAGGATGCCTTCTTCGATCCAGGCATGACCTACTTTTGCTAGTGGGTCTGTCCATGATGGTCCCTTTAATTGCTACCCCTTATCTGACTCCTATACAAGTGACCATCTTCCTGTCAATGCTTCAAATTCAAGACTGGTGGTAAACAACAAATAGGCTGAGGGACTGCTTGTCTTCTACTGTCTCCAATACCTTCATATGACCTCTGTAGTGAATTGATAAAATGACTGGTTGATAAAGTCTTCAGAATAAAGATACCCAGGTGTTGCACATGTCTTATTCATTTACTTGTCAGTATACCATTACTGCTACCAAAACTTAATTATAGTAGCCAAAATATTAAAACCAATCAAATGCAGGTCTATTCCTGAAAGTTGTGTGTGTGTTATGTTTGTAAAGATAAATAATGTATAAATACATAAGAACAATGCAATATAGTAATAGTCATGACACTTAGAGAGCATCTTGACTTCATAATACAATGCAGTATAGATATTAGAAAAAGTGGGAAGTGCAGTGCCTACACTGGGAGGGATAAGCAGGTTGCAGTTCAGATAGTTATTTGAATTGGGATGTATGCACGCTTCTGGCAAGACAGCTACCGAGTCTGAAGGTGAATATTTCCTCTTTCAGGCCACCCTTGGTGGGAAAAAGAGACCGGTGTTAAAAAAAAAATAAAACTGCTAAACCTGAACAAGTCATTTAGTGTTATATGCTAGAGGGGTGTAGACTTCGTGTGAAAGGTATTCAAAGCTAATGAACTAAGTTTCAGTTTAGAGATCAAAGGAAGTCTGCATTTAAAGCAGGACTTACCAAAAGTGCAGCCAGGGTGAAGGCATCGAGGCAGTGAAGGAGAGGTCAGAAACAAAGTCTACATACTCTTTGATGAACAGGACCATCATAAGATGTTCCAGTGTATTAACTCAAAATGGTAACTATACCTGCAAAATACAAAGACCCCCATTTATTCAATAAAGTATTTACTCTTTAATAATGATCAATACAAGTACAAAATAGTGAATTATGTTAATTTTCTTGTATAACATATACCGAAGGTATCATGCAGGCCATTCAAATTCAGCAATACAATGATTCAACAGCTGATTAACATGATAATTTTTTCCAGTGTGTGAAAATTATTCAGATCTGATCTGCTTCTCAGTAATCACAATAGTACTTATGAGTGAGCCTTTAATGCTTTTTTGTAATTTTTTTTTTTCAACAAGTCGGCCAGCACTGTATAGCCCTTGTGGCTTAGCGCTTCTTTTTGATTATAATAATAATAATAATAACAAGTCAGCCATCTCCACCCAGTCAATTTATATTTTATTATGGACAGATAAAAAGGCAAGAATCTCTTCCTCTGTAGTAGTTTAGTATATAATACCTGAATATCACTGCAATTTTAAACAAATTAGTCTCTTCGTGGGTGGTATCTTGGATCAAACTTGATTACCTCCAACTTCCCAGGTACAGCATGACCCCCTAGAGGTTTAACACGATTATAATAAAGATAATCATCAGAAGGATTCTAATTAATAGCATCAGGTAGTTTAATTTGTGTTACTAATCTTTATTAAATAAGTTATTCTAAAACAATTATATATATTATACCCACTCTGAGGTTTAAAGATATACATTCTAACTTATCTTTTGCTATATCACTAGTATGCCTTTTGTTTTATTAATTGAGTGCAAGAAACTGCCCATCCAACTATCAGAATTACCCTATGAAGTGCATAGAAGTAGGTAATTTGACCAATTTTACATTAAGTTCAACAAATTCCATTTTAAAAAAAGCCCAAAATCAACACAGTAGGCATTCCACCACTAAGGCAACCTTTCCTCTATTCATTAATCATATCACCAGACTTCTCCTATATAACACTTGCCTCCATTTTCAATACATCACACAAAAACAAAGTTTTACCCCATTTCTAATTTAATAAAACATAACCAAGAATGTCTGGCTATGGTTTAGGCTGTCCAAATATATGAAGACCTTGTAAAAACCCACAAAACAGACTTGGGATTTGGGGAGGGGGATTAGGGTCATTCTTACCTTTCCTCAGCAAAACTGACAAAAATCAAATATTTCTGCCACTTTGAGGCCTATTGCAAGCTACTTCCAGTTTGAAACTGACCAAAATTTCTATTTCTTATCAATTTATACCAAAAAACAGCCAATAATACTACCCTAGAAAACACCTTAAATTTGCCATTTTAACCAAATATGAGGCAGGATTTGTTTTATGCTGTGCATACCCACTGCACAGACCCAGTTTCTTATGTCTAGGCCAAAATTTACAACTTGCAGCATATTTTAGGCACTGTGCTTGAAAGAGATCTACACCAGTGGCACTGGCATAAGTAACTTAGATCTACATGGGAGATAGTAAAAAGGTTAATGAGTAGATACTGTAACCTCAGGATATCTATAAATTTTACAAATCCCATCACTCAAATGGTCATTAAAAGTTTGCAAAAAATACTGATGAACATTATGTGACCTGAAAGTTTAAGCATGACCAAATGAACTAGATACTGAATTATTCCAATGACATCATTTAATTATTTATTAAAATAAAGAAGTGTTATACTGCAATGAGATCCTAACAGTGGTAAACCTATCCTTTGTGGCAGTAACTCAAGAAACAAATTTTTAATATCTTAATTCTTTATAGCTCTTGTAAAATTGACTTAGGGAAGGGAACAAAGACGCTGAGAAACGTGTGGTGTGAGGATACGAAAAGTTAATGACTTTTTTTTTTTATCTTATCAGTCATCTCCCACTAAGGTATGGTGACCAGAAAAATAAAGAACACATTCCCATCATTCAATCAGTCTTGCCAGAAGTGTACTGACATCATATTTCAATGATTTTCTGACTATAATATCCCCACCTTAATATCCCCACCCCTCCTTCCGAGTCCCGGACCTTTCCTTGGTGGGAGATGGACAGTGAAAAAAAAAAAAAACCTCTCCTGTTCCTTTTTTCCTTCTAAACCACATGTTGTACAAAAGATTGCAGAGTGAAGCAATACAGTTAAACAAATGGAGAATGAATACAAGAATGAAGAAATATACAAGTGAGGCATGAGAACTGTATTTGATCATAGAGACTATCTGTTAGTGAAAGTTTAGCCATAAAAATCATGTACATATTGATGAAACAGTTAGGGATGTCTGCAGACATTACCTGGAAGAGGGTTGCCAAACATACTGCAGCCTTCACAGTCAAGTGGTTAGAACATAAGATTAGCACATGCTAGGCCTCAGGTCCAAATCCCTCCCATTCCTTTGAAAAAAACTATAAATTAATACTAAATAATTAACATGAAACAAGCTAATATTTACAAATGACTGAAAATTTTCCAATATAATAGCTTTAAAATCTACCTTTATAAATGTACATAGCACCTGCAGGTAAATAACTTGGGCCAGACGAGCCTGGCCCAAGGTCGGGCTTAGGGAATAGAAAAAAATTATTGCAACTCATCAAAGCTATCTTACTCTATGGTCTTTTAACACTTTTTTTTTTTTTCAACAACTTATTTAGATTTCTAAACCATTATATAGCACATTATCTGGTCATATGTGATATCCTACTAAGGACATTAAAGAAGATAATAAATTCTGTACAAGCCTGAATCACAATCCCCTTCAATTCCTCTTTTCAGATTAGTATGCATAATAAATATATACCAGGATCTCAAGACTTAGAAAATAAGAAGACAGTGACAAGAGAAGCTGTGTATCTGATCAGGTCCCTAATCCACACTGCTATAACCACGAGAGCATGTGTGCGAGAGAATGAGCAAGAGATATCATAAGAGAAAGTGTCTAAAACTCACTTAGAAGCAGGGGCACCCAAGGCACAATTTGAGTAAATTGTCAACATCCATAGTTCAAGACTCTCCTAACAGCTAGTGTGAAAAATATTGCTGGATAAAAAGAATAAACATGTGCCTGATTAGCCAGGTTATCATTGCTAGGCAGGCTTGAAGGCCACTGGCAGTAACAGCCTGGTTGCCAAGTCAGTCAACAATGAAGTCCAGATTCAGACCGGATTTCAGGTAGGAAACTCGCAAAACTAAATCACAGGTAAATCTAAATCATCTACTGTATAATTATACACCAGCAACATCCTCAACCTGGCATTAAACTGCATTATGCACTTAATGATTCATAGTACTGCATTGCCTTAAAGGTTTCTTCTCACATGATGAATCATTAATGAACTACAGTATAATCCACATATATACAGTATATTACTCTTTGATATACAAAATTAAATTTTTACACCTAAATCTTTATACAGTACATAAATATGTTGAAAATATACACAGTAAAGAAAGGCACCCTACCTTGCTGAGAACTATTATTATGGATTTTTTGTTTACATTTAATTACTATGTAAAATTTCCTACAATTCCATAACATCATTTCCAAACAACATGTGCATTATGCTTCACAGTATTATTATTATTACAGTATGTATTGTATTAACAAGAAATGTGCAGATGGTCATACAGCATACCATGAAACAGGAATTCGGTTTTCTGCCACTGCAATAACACCAACGTCCTTCCATAAACTCTCGAATTGTGGTTCAAACATTGGCTGCAAGGCAAACTTATCAACTGCAGCAATTAGGGGAAAATTAAATGCATTTTCCAATGTGGGCAAGAAAATACAATAATTTCAAACATACAGGTAGACCATGGGCTCAATGCCGACAACAGACAGCCTCAGCTAATTCAGGTCTGATTGCTCATAACTGGCCCACAGACTGGTAGTGACTACTGAACACCTAGGTATGTACATAAAAAGTTGCAAAACAAGCTTTTGCTGAGACAGCATTTCACTCAGTGTAGAACAGCTTTACCCAGACATGACTCATGGACCAGGAGGGACCAAAATCTAGCTATTAACTCTAACTTAAGAGCAAGTTGTGAATTGTCCTAGCCACACAATTATGATTTATTCTTTACCGTTTTATTATTCCAGAACATACACAATATACAAAAGAGAGGGAGGCAAGAGCTTACCTGCAACTAACCAGTACACCTGTAATCAAGAATATTTTATTCCCTAATATAGAGATTGCAGTAAACTTCCAGTGTATATGCATTATAGATGTACGTACTGTACACCTCGATGTATATACCCCAAGATACACACCTCTTGATGTATACATGCCATCAAAATTATATTAAAGCCGAGATTCTACATTGTCCTGCTGTTACAAATTGGGATGTCACACTCAAAAGCAATGTTCAGAACTTTGAAACGACAAGTGTATAAAACCCCTGAAGTTGTTGGTTTTTCACCCATGTGCAGAACTCTTATAATATACAACTTTCAGTGCACTGTATCTCAATCCACAAATGCAGAATTTGTTAGATGGAAATTATTACCCAATAACAGACAAGTGCATCATTCAATATCATATATAATTATATAACCATACAAAATTATATGCTATTAGTATAAAAAATATAGAATGGCAACTTCTTTCTCAAAATATTTCCTGTTTTGCTTAAAGTAAATTATGCCATGAAATTCAGGAAATATTATAAAAGAGTATTGTAAACTTTTGCTAAATTCTCTTGTATCAACATCAGATCAATGGTGAGCAACATGTATTTTAACAAAGCATATATAAAGAAACAGCTCAGATATTCTTTCTTTCTTTCTTTCAACACACCGGCCGTATCCCACCAAGGCAGGGTGGCCTAAAAAGAAAAACGAAAGTTTCTCTTTTAAATTTAGTAATTTATACGGGAGAAGGGGTTACTAGTCCCTTGCTCCCGGCATTTTAGTCGCCTCTTACAACACGCATGGCTTACGGAGGAAGAATTCTGTTCCACTTTCCCATGGAGATAAGAGGAAATAAACAAGAACAAGAACTAGAAAGAAAATAGCAGAAAACCTAGAGGGGTGTATGTGTATATATATGCTTGTACATGTATGTGTAGCGTGACCTAAGTGTAAGTAGAAGTAGCAAGATGTACCTGAAATCTTGCATGTTTATGAGACAGAAAAAAGGACACCAGCAAACCTACCATCATGTAAAACAATTACAGACTTTCGTTTTACACTCCTGCCAAGTGAGTGTAAAACGAAAGCCTGTAATTGTTTTACATGATGGTAGGATTGCTGGTGTCCATTTTTCTGTCTCATAAACATGCAAGATTTCAGGCAAGTCTTGCTACTACTTCTTACACATAGGTCACACTACACATACATGTACATGCATATATATATATATACACACCCCTCTGGGTTTTCTTCTATTTTCTTACTAGTTCTTGTTCTTGTTTATTTCCTGTTATCTCCATGGGGACGTGGAACAGAATTCTTCCTCCGTAAGCCATGCGTGTTGTAAGAGGCGACTAAAATGCCGGGAGCAAGGGGCTAGTAACCCCTTCTCCTGTATATATTACTAAATTTAAAAGGAGAAACTTTAGTTTTTTCTTTTGGGCCACCCTGTCTTGGTGGGATACGGTCTGTCTCATAAATATGCAAGATTACAGGCATGTCTTGCTACTTCTACTTACACTTAGGTCACACTACACATACATGTACACATTTATTTATACACACTCATCTGAGTTTTCTTTGATTTTATCTTAATAGTTCTTGGTCTTATTAATTTTCCTTTTATATCCATGGGGAAGTGGAATAAGAATCTTTCCTCCGTAAGCCATGCGTGTTGTAAAAGTCAACTAAAATGCCGGGAACAATGGGCTAGTAACCCCTTTTCCTGTAAAGATTACTAAAAAGAATAAGAAGAAGAAAATTGTCAAAGTGGGAAGTCTGAATGTGCGTGGATGTTGTGCAGATGATAAGAAAGAGATGATTGTGGATGTTATGAATGAGAAAAAGCTGGATGTCCTGGCTTTAAGTGAAACAAAGCTGAAGGGGGTGGGAGAGTTTCATGATGGACAATGTGATATCATTTCAAATAGATTAAGAAAGTAAGAATGCAATAAAGCCTGAATCACAATCCTTCAATTCCCTTTTCAGGGATTAATGTATAATAAGGATATAACTGGACAAAATAGAAAATATGAAGGAAAAGTGGGTATAAGAAAGCTGTGTACTCGAGATCAGTCAAGTGACACGCATAACAGAGAGATGTTGGAGAGAATGAGCAAGAGATATCATAGAGAAGTGTCAAAATCACTTAGAATGCAGGGGCCGGCATAGGGCACAATTTGATACAGTGTCAACATCCTATCAAGACTCTCTAACAGTAGTGTGAAAATATTGCGTGTGCCAAAAGGAATAAATGGGGCCTGATTACCAGATCTATGTGCTAGAGATTGGGCCAATGAAGTAACATCTGTTTGAACAAGTCAGTCAAACAATAATCCAAGGTTCAGAGCCGATTCAGGAAAAAGTTATCCAGAAACTATGTCACAGGTATAAAGGTAATACTCCAGGATATTATACACTCAGCAACGTCCAACCTGGATTACGGACTGCATTATTGCAGCTACATGTTCATAGTAAGCATTGCCTAAAAGGTTCTTGGTCACTGATAACATTAAATGAAGTAAAGTGATAATCCACATAATACAGAATTCGTTTGAGATATAAAAAAAATTGTAAACACGTAAGGGCTTTAAAGATAAGTATGGGGTTGAAAGGGTTACATCAGTAAAAATGCATCTTACCATTGCGGCAAATCTTTGGGGTTATTTGGTTATAGTTGAGACATGTAGAAACTCCTCAATTGTGAAATGATTGAAAACATGTGATTATGCTTCAAGAGAATAATTATTATTACAGATGTTTGTTACAAACAAGAAATGTGCAGATAGAAGAGCATACCATGAAACGGAATATACGGTTTCAAGAGGTGGCATGAATGCAAAAGAGAGCTCCATAAACGTGGAGGCACTGTCAAAATTTTTAAATGAAGGCAAATTTTGATCGATGAAACAATTAGGGAAAATTAATGCATTAAAGATTGGTCAAGAAAAACAGATAATTCGAAGTATAGAGGTGACATGGGCTAATTGGGGATGCGAGAATATTGAGGAACTCTTTAAATTAAGGAGAAACAAGGCATGAATTTCATAACTGGCCACAGGATGTAGAGACTACTGAACACTAGATATGTACAAAAAGGGTTGGCAGAACAAGCTTTCGTCTGAGACAAGAAAGTTAACAATGGAACACTTACCCGACTTGACAACATTGACAGGAGGGGGGAAAAAGTCTAGCAGTGATCGTATTCTTAAATAAAGTTTTGAATTGTAGCGAACACATATGGATTTAGATTAAGCCCGTTTTATTATTCCAAAATAAAAGACAAAAGAGAGGAGGAAAGAGCTTACCTGCAACTAACCAGTACACAGCAATAATCAAGAAAGTTATATTGCAAATATAGAGATTGCAGTAAACTAGTGTATATGCATGAGAAAGGAGGTTTAGAGTGGGAGGGGAGTGTAGACTCAAGTTTACATTGACATTATGTGAACATAAATTAATTAAAGCGGGATTCTTATTGCATTATGGTTAGAAAAGGATTAACAGTGGATAGAGGACAATGTGGAAATTGCAAGTATAGGAAAGTCCGGAAGTTTTATTGTAAAGAGTTTTTATGAGGATAGTGAGGCTCAGGTTAGGGTGTGTAGAAGAGAGGGAGACTACTTCCCGGTAAAAGTAGGCCCTTAGACAGGGATGTGTAATGTCAACCATGGTTGTTTAATATATTTATAGATGGGGTTGTAAAGGAGTAAATGCTAGGGTGTTTGGGAGAGGGGGGGGGATTAAATTTTGGGGAATCAAATTCAAAATGGGAATTGACACAGTTACTTTTTGCTGATGATACTGTGCTTATGGGAGATTCTAAAGAAAAATTGCAAGGTTAGTGGATGAGTTTGGGGAAAGTGTGTAAAGGTAGAAAGTTGAAAGTGAAAATAGAAAAGGTAAGGTGATGAGGGTGTCAAATGATTTAGATAAAGAAAAATTGGATATCAAATTGGGGAGGAGGAGTATGGAAGAAGTGAATGTTTTCAGATACTTGGGAGTTGACGTGTCGGCGGATGGATTTATGAAGGATGAGGTTAATCATAGAATTGATGAGGGAAAAAAGGTGAGTGGTGCGTTGAGGTATATGTGGAGTCAAAAAACGTTATCTATGGAGGCAAAGAAGGGAATGTATGAAAGTATAGTAGTACCAACACTCTTATATGGGTGTGAAGCTTGGGTGGTAAATGCAGCAGCAAGGAGACGGTTGGAGGCAGCGGAGATGTCCTGTCTAAGGGCAATGTGTGGTGTAAATATTATGCAAAAAATTCGGAGTGTGGAAATTAGGAGAAGGTGTGGAGTTAATAAAAGTATTAGTCAGAGGGCAGAAGAGGGGTTGTTGAGGTGGTTTGGTCATTTAGAGAGAATGGATCACAGTAGAATGACATGGAAAGCATATAAATCTATAGGGGAAGGAAGGCGGGGGTAGGGGTCGTCCTCGAAAGGGTTGGAGAGAGGGGGTAAAGGAGGTTTTGTGGGTAAGGGGCTTGGATTTCCAGCAAGCGTGCGTGAGCGTGTTAGATAGGAGTGAATGGAGACGAATGGTACTTGGGACCTGACGATCTGTTGGAGTGTGAGCAGGGTAATATTTAGTGAAGGGATTCAGGGAAACCGGTTATTTTCATATAGTCGGACTTGAGTCCTGGAAATGGGAAGTACAATGCTGCACTTTAAAGGAGGGTTTGGGATATTGGCAGTTTGGAGGGATATGTTGTGTATCTTTATATGTGTATGCTTCTAGACTGTTGTATTCTGAGCACCTCTGCAAAAACAGTGATAATGTGCGAGTGTGGTGAAAGTGTTGAATGATGATGAAAGTATTTTCTTTTTGGGGATTTTCTTTCTTTTTTGGGTCCACCCTGCCTCGGTGGGAGACGGCCGACTTGTTGAAAAAAAAAAAAAAAAAAAAAAAAATATATATATATATATATATATTATTATATATATATATATATATATATATATATATATAATATATATATATATATATATATATATATATATATATATATATATATAATATATAATGCCGGGAGCAAGGGCTAGTAACCCCTTCTCCTGTATATATTACTAAATTTGAAAGGAGAAACTTTGGTTTTTTCTTTTGGGCCACCCCGCCTCGGTGGGATTAAAGGCCGGTGTCTTGAAAGAAAGAAAGAATATATATATATATATATATATATATATATATATATATATATATATATATTATATATATATATATATATATATATATATATACTATATATATATTATATATATATACACACAACACACACACACACATATACAATTTAAATGTACTGTACTGACATTACCTACATTTTTGTAAAATTACCCATTATTATTATATTCATGGAGAGCACTAAACCTATAAGGGTATCAGGTAATCAGGTTCAATCCAAGAAACAGAAGAGCAGCTCCAAATCCTCAGATCAAGAGCCATTCGACTGCATCAAGGCACTCTAACCCCATTGGTGGGCATATGGTACTGCTCAATGTATCATCAGTCTGCTAGCAAGAAACACAATGACTGGGTTTCATCTTACCTAGTTAAATTTCAGTGTAAAATGTAGGTCGTTCTATACCAATGAGACGGAATGCCATTGGGCCCGTGTAAACCACTGTAAACCCAATTGCAATGTAGGTAATGAATTTGTAGAAGAGTTCAACAATGAGGCGGTGACGAACAGTGATGCCACCCGTCTTGTTCACGTAATCTTCTGCTTTTACCTGAAGAAACATTCGTAGAATGTTGGAAAGAAATCGTGTAACCGTGGTCATACATTTAAGAGAAATTGTGAAGTGCTGACAGTATGATTAAACAAGCCAGGGAATGCAGAGGAGTCTTTATTGGCACAGTATTTTGACAAATTGACTAACAAGTACATAGAATAGTAACATTTCCAGGCCAAGTAGTTAGGTGCTGAGTAAGTGAAGTATGATGAATCAGGTGTCGAGTATGTGAGGCATGATGAATCAGGTGTTGAATAAGTAAAGTATAATGAACCAGGTGTTGAGTGGGTGAGATCTGAGAAGCAAGGAGGCACTGCAAGATGCCTACCAGGCCATACTAGGTTTGCTTCTTCATTCCATCACAATGGAAGCTGTGAGTATAGACAAAGTAAATCTACTATTTTGTTTGTGTTGGCAAATTTCTTGGAAAAGAAGTCTAGGTAGCTGCATTTAATCTTGTCATTTTCATAAAATAACATGGTTGCTCTATCCCATACCATGAGATGGGAGTGGGTATGATGGTACTGGGCACAAGCTTTGGTAAAACTGTCAACCCCCTACAAGCACATTTATGTTCCTGCACATTTATGTTGGGAGACTTCTGGTAGTTTTCCCAATGTAGACCTGATCACACCCATCACATGGAATAGAGTAAAACTCATGTGTCCTTCAGTTCCAAGGATGCTGGGGAGATCCTTGTAGAGTCCCTTATGATTGTGGTAGTGACTTTTCCTATAGACATAGGAAAAGTCACTACCACAATCATAAGGGACTCTACAAGGATCTCCCCAGATGCAACTCTCTTGTATTCTACACACAGTACTTGATAGTCAATTTGTGTTGAAACATTGTACCAATAAGGATTCCTCTGCAATCAGTGCCTTACTCATCACTGTTATTCAATATGCAAGAACACAATACATTCTCCTAAGCAAACATGGATTTTGCCTTCACCTCAAAACCACCAGTAAAGTAACTGTGATACTAAAATACAAACGTTGATTTATTGAGAGATATATGCTTCCTCATTCTTCTCAATGGTTCTTTGTTTTCTGTTCATCAGTCAAGACATGTTGCACAGACAGAAGACAGTGACATTGATACACAGTAAATCTTGGAATGGGTAGAGTTTGAATCCAAGGTAAGCAAGTCCTAAAACTCACAGGCCATGGTTTAAACCCTACCCATTCCACAATTTGTTTGAAATCATGTTATTACAATTCTGCCAGTGATGTACCTTATGTTATAATTGGCTAACTTTAGTTAACTGATACTACCTTAACCTAGTGTTTGTAGAGAAATTCGCTTAAGCACATAAAATATAAACATTGGCATCAGGAGGGCAGATTGAATAATTATACAATACTTTCAGTGAATGCACCTTAAAGTACAAAATATGATCACTCATTAACATTATTAACTAAGACTAGGAAGAAGTGTTTAACTCATTAAGACAATTTATAAACGATAATATGCATTGTATTTGTGCTAGAGGAAAATACAACATATACTTGCCTGAAGCAATGCACAGATGGTGGCAAAAGAAAGAGACTTAAATATTGCCTTCACAGCCATAATGATGACTAGCCCAAGTATGGTGCGGAGAAGTGATAATCCAATCATGTTAAGTGATGGCCAGATGACACTGTAAGGTGGAGGTAGCGATGGCTCCCGTATAATACCCAGCTGATAGTTGGTCCATGATCCCAGGAGGGAGCCGCATCCTACGCCAACAATAACGGTGGTATCACCCCTGCGGTAAACAATATGAAAATTAAAGGAATGCAATGAGATATACTGATTTATCCCCAAATTACTAATACTGTACAAGCCTAACTTCAGTTGGTCAATGCTTTTTGTTCCCAGTAATACTGTATGCTATAGGTTGTTTGTCATTTGTGAACATTACTTTTCCCAAACTGACAGTTTAACAAATCTGCAAACTGCACTAACACATCCCAAAATCAATACAAAAATACTTACTATTAAGATAAACCATCATTTAGGGAAACAATTTACTTAATAAAATAGGCAAGCTGAAATTTACTGAGCTCAGAGCGACAAGGTGTGTTTTAATACAGCTCACCAATGGTAAAAGTTTTGAGCCAATCAGTAAGTGATACAATTCCAGCGATTTCAAGGTTTTTTAGCAATTTCGGTAAAATTTCAAATTTGCAGATATTCAGACTAATGGGATATCAGCCTTAGAGGATGCATCATCGATAATATTTTGAAGCCAATCAAAAGCATTCTTTAGTTATTAAATAAAAATGAGTCTCACTATTTATTCAATAACACTGGCAAACTGGGACTTACAGCAGTGCAAGCCTTGTTCAAAACACCATACCAGTGTTGAACATTTGAAACTGATCACACGAGTCATTCTCCAGTTATGGAATGGATTCCAATGACAGTTTTTTATATTACCATTTTACTACATAATTTTTTTTAACACGTTGGCTGTCGCCAGAAAATCATAATTCTGGGACCTATAATATATGGTGAGTTACCTGGCAGGTGTCCAACGATCAGTGGCAGGGTAGCAGACAACCATGGCGACGGTCAGTGTGAAGGAGATGAGGGGCGAGGCTGGGTGGGTCAGTGCCAAGTGATCGAGGACGTCCACCCAGGGTAATATCATAACAAGTAATACAGTCACCAGCATGAGTCCACACACCACATCCTAAATTAAAAATTATATTTAATGTATTTATATACGGCACTTCCATATTTTTAAAATATGGCAAAATTCCACATAATTCTTTAATTTTGGTGGGGGGGGGGGAGTGTAAGCAATAATGAGTAGGATCCACTATATCTATGAACCTTGTTACTTGTGAAACAACGTACGTAGAGGCAGTCTGTAGGTTGTGTTAAGTTTATTTTAATGTCTTTATGTATGTGCTTATTCAGTAGATTGTGTAGTGAATGTTTATTGCTCATCACCAGTGTCAATGTTACATAATGATATATGTACCTATATATATTTGTATGACATTTTAAATAAAAAAAAAAAATCTTTAATTTCAATGCTTCACAATTAACTCTTATGACAATACTTCTTTTGTAAAGTTGCAGTAAATGAAACATGAAGAAACAATAATGAGGAAATCTTAACAAGTTTTACAGATAAGAACTTAATTGTACCAATAAAAACAGAACAATTCACAACTAACCCACAGTTTGGAAAATAAATTTTAGACAATGTTTATCCTGGACCAGGAGAAACTAAAACATGGTCATCAATAATGGTTTCCTATCCAAATCTTGGGTTGGCTATAAAGGCTAACTGAATATGACTTACCAAAACAGTATGCATTCCCAGGTACAGCCTTGAAAGGCAGACGCAGGTACACCATGTAACTGCAATGGCCAATCCCCAGCCCCAGTCCAACTAGAAAAAAAACGTAGTTCAGAGTACAACTTATGTTCAAAATCCATTTTTACCATAAAAAGAAAAAATCACTAAAAGGAAGCAATGCAGAAGGACTATAGGCCCAGACTAAGTAAGTCTTACTCACGGCCATTCCCATATATGTATTATTTATAGAAATGGAAATTTTTTTTTTTTTTTTTTCAACAAGTCGGCCGTCTCCCACCAAGGCAGGGTGACCCAAAAAAGAAAGAAAACAAGTTTCTTCTTATTCTTTTTAGTAATCTTTACAGGAAAAGGGGTTACTAGCCCATTGTTCCCGGCATTTTAGTTGACTTTTACAACACGCATGGCTTACGGAGGAAAGATTCTTATTCCACTTCCCCATGGATAAGAAATGGAAAATACCGTAAAGAATAAAGAAAGCGCTTTGACACATAATCATTTAGTGCTTCTGATATGAGTATTATTGTAAATACTAATAAAATTTACACTACTTTTATTGAAAGGACCACAATAAATAATTTCTGAAGCTATTTTTTTTTTTATTTTTGGTATAAGGCCATTAATGTCTATCGAGTAGGTTCTTGATTTTTAAGTAAACATAAGTAATGTTAATCTTAATAGTTCTTGGTCTTATTACTTTTCCTTTTATATCCATGGGGAAGTGGAATAAGAATCTTTCCTTCGTAAGCCATGCGTGTTGTAAAGTCAACTAAAATGCCGGGAACAATGGGCTAGTAACCCCTTTTCCTGTAATAATTACTAAAAGAATAATAAGAAGAATTGTCAAAGTGGGAAGTGATGTCATAGATGTGTGCAATAAAAGAAAGAGATGATTGTGGATGTTATGAATGAGAAGCAGCTGGATGTCCTGGCTTTAAGTGAAACAAAAGGTGGAGGGGGGTGGGAGAGTTTCAGTGGAGAGGAATAAATGGGATTAGGTCAGGGGTTTCAAATAGAGTTAGAGCTAAAGGAGAAGTAGCAATAATGTTGAAGGATAAGTTATGGCAGGTAAAGAGGGACTATAAATGTATTAATTCAAGGATTATGTGGAGCAAAATAAAGGCTGGATGTGAAAAGTGGGTTATAGTAAGCGTATATGCACCTGGAGAAGAGAGAAGTGTAGAGGAGAGAGAGAAATTTTGGGAAATGTTGAGTGAATGCGTGGGGAGTTTTGAACCAAGTGTGAGAGTAATGGTGGTTGGGGATTTCAGTGCTAAAGTGGGCAAAAATGTTGTGGAGGGAGTAGTAGGTAAATTTGGGGTGCCAGGAATAAATGAAAATGGGGAGCCTTTAATTAAGCTATGTGTAGAAAGAGGTTTGGCAATAAGTAATATATATTTTATGAAGAAGAGGATAAATAAATATACAAGTTATGATATAGCACGTAATGAAAGTAGTTTGTTAGATTGTGTATTGGTGGATAAAAGGTTGATGGGTAGGCTCCAGGATGAACACGTTTATAAAGGGGCAACTGATATATCGGATCATTATTTAGTTGCAGCTACAGTTAGAGTAAGAGGTAGATGGGAAAAAGAGGAAAATGGCAACAACAAGCAAGAGGGAGGTGAAAGTGTATAAACTAAGGGAGGAGGAAGTTTGGGTGAGATATAAGCAACTATTGGCAAAGAGGTGGGCTGGTCCAGTATGAGTAGTGGGGGGGGGGGGGGTTGAAGAGGGTTGGAATAGTTTTAAAAATGCAGTATTAGAATGTGGGGCAGAAGTTTGTGGTTATAGGAGGGTGGAGGCAGGAGGAAAGAGGAGTAATTGGTGGAATGATGAAGTAAAGGGTGTGATAAAAGAGAAAAAGTTAGCTTATGAGAGGTTTTTACAAAGCAGAAGTGTTATAAGAAGAGTAGAGTATATGGAGAGTAAAAGAAAGGTGAAGAGAGTGCAAAAGGAGAGCAGATGATAGAGTGGGAGAGCCACTGTCAAGGAATTTTAATGAAAATAAGAAAAAATTTTGGAGTTAAACAAGTTAAGAAACCCTAGAGAAAGAATGGATTTGTCAGTTAAAAACAGAGTAGGGGAGTTAGTAGATGGGGAGATGGAGGTTTTGGGTAGATGGCAAGAATATTTTGAGGAGCTTTTAAATGTCGACGAAGAAAGGGAAGCGGTAATTTTATGCACTGGCCAGGGAGATATACCATCTTTTAGGAGTGAAGAACAGGATGTGAGTGTGGGGGGGGGGGTGCGTGAGGCATTACGTAGAATGAAAGGGGGTAAAGCAGCTGGAATTGACGGGATCATGACAGAAATGTTAAAAGCAGGGGGGGATACAGTGTTGGAGTGGTTGGTATTTTTGTTTAATAAATGTATGAAAGAGGGGAAGGTACCTAGGGATTGGCAGAGAGCATGTACAGTCCCTTTATATAAAGGGAAGGGGGACAAAAGAGATTGTAAAAATTATATAGGAATAAGTTTACTGAGTATACCAAGAAAAGTGTACGGTAGGGTTATAATTGAAAGAATTAGAGGTAAGACAGAATGAAGGATTGCGGATGAGCAAGGAGGTTTCAGAGTGGGTAGGGGATGTGTAAATCAACTGTTTACATTGAACAGTATTTAGATAAAGGTAGGGAGCAGTATTTAGATAAAAGTAGGGAAGTTTTTATTGCATTTATGGATTTAGAAAAGGCATATGATAGAGTGGATAGGGGAGCAATGTGGCAGATGTTGCAAGTACATCGAATAGGTGGTAAGTTACTAAATGCTGTAAAGAGTTTTTATGAGGATAGTGAGGCTCAGGTTAGGGTGTGTAGAAGAGAGGGAGACTACTTCCCAGTAAAAGTAGGTCTTAGACAGGGATGTGTAATGTCACCATGGTTGTTCAATATATTTATAGATGGGATTGTAAAAGAAGTAAATGCTAGGATGTTCAGGAGAGGGGCGGGATTAAATTATGGGGAATTAAATAACAAAAAAAGGCACAATACTGTGACTGGAATGATACACAAATAACCCGCACATAAAAGAGAGAAGCTTACGACGATGTTTCGGTCCGACTTGGACCATTTACAAAGTCACACTAACCAGAAGTGGAGCAGGACAGCTATATATAGGCAGGAAGAGGTGGTAGTAGTAGTACAAGAATGGTATATAATACCGACAAGATGAAATTAAGGGATGCCCGGGTGTTGCGCATGTGTCTTAATTTCATTTTGTCGGTATTATATACCATTCTTGTACTACTACTACTACCACCACCTCTTCCTGCCTATATACAGCCGTCCTGCTCCACTTCTGGTTAGTGTGACTTTGTAAATGGTCCAAGTCGGACCGAAACGTCGTTGTAAGCTTCTCTCTTTTATGTGCGGGTTATTTGTGTATGGGGAATTAAATACAAAATGGGAATTGACACAGTTGCTTTTTGCTGATGATACTGTGCTTATGGGAGAGTCTAAAGAAAAATTGCAAAGGTTAGTGGATGAGTTTGGGAGTGTGTGTAAAGGTAGAAAGTTGAAAGTGAACATAGAAAAGAGTAAGGTGATGAGGGTATCAAATGATTTAGATAAAGAAAAATTGGATACTAAATTGGGGAGGAGGAGTATGGAAGAAGTGAATGTTTTCAGATACTTGGGAGTTGACGTGTCGGCGGATGGATTTATGAAGGATGAGGTTAATCATAGAACTGATGAGGGAAAAAAGGTGAGTGGTGCATTGAGGTATATGTGGAGACAAAAAATGTTATCTATGGAGGCAAAGAAGGGAATGTATGAAAGTATAGTAGTACCAATACTCTTATATGGGTGTGAAGCTTGGGTTGTGAATGCACCAGCGAGGAGGTGGTTGGAGGCAGTGGAGATGTCCTGTCTAAGGGCAATGTGTGGTGTAAATATTATGCAGAAAATTCGGAGTGTGGAAATTAGGAGGAAGTGTGGAGTTAATAAAAGTATTAGTCAGAGGGCTGAAGAGGGGTTGTTAAGGTGGTTTGGTCATTTAGAGAGAATGGATCAAAGTAGAATGACATGGAGAGCATATAAATCTGTAGGGGAAGGAAGGCGGGGTAGGGGTCGTCCTCGAAAAGGTTGGAAGGAAGGGGTAAGGGAGGTTTAGTGGGTGAGGGGCTTGGACTTCCAGCAGGAGTGCATGAGAGTGTTTGATAGGAGTGAATGGAGACGAATGGTATTTGGGACCTGACGATCTGTCGGAGTGTGAGCAGGGTAATATTTAGTGAAGGGATTCAGGGAAACCGGTTGTTTTTGTATAGCCGGACTCGAGTCCTGGAAATGGGAAGTACAATGCCTGCATTCTAAAGGAGGGGTTTGGGATATTGGCAGTTTGGAGGGATATGTTGTGTATCTTTATATGTATATGCTTCTAAACTGTTATGTTCTGAGCACCTCTGCAAAAACAGTGATTATGTGTGAGTGAGGTGAGTGTTGAATGATGATGAAAGTATTTTCTTTTTGGGGATTTTCTTCATTTTTGGGTCACCCTGCCTCGGTGGGAGACGGCCGACTTGTTGAAAAAAAAAAATATGTAATGTTGATTTTTTCCTGATTTTGTATTGTAGGAATTAGCTGTGAATTGTTCTCAGTTGTTTATTGGCCAAATTACAGTATACGATGATTTGGTGAAATGTAAATTTTTTTTTTTTGTGGGGGGTAAATGATTTCAACAAAATATGAAATTCTCCAAGTCTAAGAAAAAATCCCAATGTTTTCATTACACTGGGTTCACTTTATGACCACACAGCATGGGATGCCTATTATTATTCTGCTGTACATTTATACTTAAGTACTGTTGAAATTGAAGAGTTCATCTTGTAAAGAAAATGCTATAGAAGAAAAAAACTATTAGTATAGTTACTATGTATGAGTATAACAGGAATATAATTTCAAGCAAGAAAACAGAGAACACTATAAGAAAAGCAAACATATCAACAGAATAATGGCAATTAATAATCAAAACCGTACACTAGTGTATACAATCTATAGTAATGGACGCCACTGTACTTACTTGGTAGCGATTTAATGTGAGGATGAGAATGGAAAATGGCATGGCAGCACCAACCATGGCATGCGTGGAGGGAAGGCCATACTCTAACTGCCACTTAGGGTCCAACCGAACTACTGGAGGACAAGCTGGCCGAGGCACTTTCAGGATATCTTTTAATGCTTGTCCTGACAAAGACAACAGAACCATAAGCTTTTTTTTTCGCTATTTTTTTTCTTTGCAATCTGACATACTCTTTTGTTGCTAAATTCAAATAAATTCAACCTGGAAACATAAAATGTACATTTAATACTGAATTTAGCACAGTTTAACCCTTAACCCTTTGACTGTTTCAGGCCCCTCTCTGAAACTGTCATTCTATGTCACTCAATTTTTGAAAAAAAAAAAAAAAAAAATATTTTTTCTTATGAAATGATAGAGAATCTTTTCCCGATGGTAATGACACCAAAAGTTCGAAATTTGGTCGAAAACTCATGGAATTATGCTCCCGCGAATTTAGCGGTCTCAGCGACATATGAGTATCGGCGATTTCGCCGACTTTGAGCCCTATTTTCAGCCAATTCCAAACTCATAGCTATTTCTTTAGAACTCCATTTTATCTATCAGCTGAGTACAAGAAACCTCCCATTTACTAATTTGGACTACCCAATATGGTGGTCAGAAATTGCCAATTTGGCCAATTTCAAGCAAACTAAAAAAGATGCCAATTTCAAAATAGGGTCCAGAATAAACAAGATAGACATTCGTGGCACTAAAATAACATATGCTCTGTTCATTAGTCACATCTCTAGGCCCCTCTTATATTATTATTGCTTTCTATTTTGATTTTTTATTCATACAAAAAAATACAAAATTTACTGTTATGCAGACTACTGCATTATTGTAAAAATGGTATAAATAATATCAGTGACTAGTGAAAGAATATTAGACTCCCCAGTTGACGTGTATTGACGTGTGGTGTGATTTATTTACTCCTGAACATTGGTAAAAATCGAACATTTCCGCTACTTTAAGCTCAGTTTCAAGGTCGTTTTCATCGTCAAAGTAATGAAAATCATCTCTATTTCTGTAATATATTTTCCATTTTATCACCTAAGACCATGAAAACGCGAATACAACGATAAATACTATACGAAAATACACCTCAAAGTCGGCGTTTTATTCCAAAAAAAACGATCAGTTTTTTTTTCTCATTACGCAATGTGTGCTGCAGGATTTTTTTTATGTGGTGCACACTGACCACACAGACCCATTCTCTCACATGTGGGCCTACCAGCTTTCTCCCGCTTGATTTGAAGCCGCTAGAATTATTGAGTATATATACGTCAGAAACATTGGCTCGTAAGACGTATTTATACGTCGAAAACAGTCAAAGGGTTAAACTGTCCAAACAAATTTACGTTCACATGCGTAGTGCTCCAAAAGTAGATCTACATTTTTCACATATTTTCAAATATAACAAAAAAAAAAAAAAGTAGATCAATGTTTTTTTTACACGTTTTCAAATGTAAAAAAAATTAAAGATCTACTTTTTTACATACTTTCAAGTGTTGAAAAAACGTAGATCTACGTTTGGACAGTTTAAGGGTTAAGGAAGAAAATGCAAAGAAGAATGCTGAAGAAACCACTAATCAAGGATACGCCTACATTATAGAAAGGATTTTACTTGATAAAGATGCTTTTTACTAATCGATACACTATCTAATAAGTGCTGGAAGTTAGCCATTGTTTCAGCACAAAATATAGCAGCAAGCACTCAACAGTGAATTTGTAAAATTTTAAGAATATAAAAAAGTGCTATTTGGAGTAATGCTAAATTTATCTGTGCATTAGATCAAGTTCTAAAGAACAGGATTATACATATAATTTATGCCTTGGTGAAGTGGAACAGAATTCTTCCTCTGTAAGCCATGCTTGTATCGTGAGAGGCGACAAAAATGCCAGAAGCAAGGGGCTAGTAATCCCTTTCCTGTATAGATTACTAAATTGTAAAAGAGAAACTTTTGTTTTTTCTTTTTAGGTCACCCAGCCTCACTGGGATACGGTCAGTTTGTTAAAAAAAAACAAAAAAGCTTTGAAGACAACTGAATGGTGCTATTTGTTGCTTCAGAACCTCTTAAAACATATTACACAAATAATTTTTTGACTATGAAATGATAATTGGAAATATAGCACACCTGGGTCTGATGGTGAATCACATGCAAAGAATTTAAGAGTGGCCATTAAACTGCAGAGCCATGAGCACTTGTCTGCTAGTTGTTCTGAACTATTCTCAAGAGACCTACATATGGTTTGAAAATAACTTGCTTATTGCAATGAAAATAAAACTTTGGTGAAAAGGAAATGAGAAGTAATGAGATGTGTGTGTAGGGCAACCCAACAGGGTTATAAAACAAATACACAAATGACCTGGACATAGGAGAGAGGAGCTTATGAAGACGGTTTGGTCCAAGTCAGACTGAAATGTTGTCGTAAGCGCCTCTCTCCTATGTGTGGGTTATTTGTGTGTTGTTCCAGTCATGGTATTGTGCCTTTTTACTCTTTATAAGACAAATACTTGCACATTCCTTCCATTATCTACCACATTTTTCTTAAATTATAATACAACATTAATACAAGAGAATAATCAGAAACAATAGCTCATCATGCCAGAAAAAAGTACATAAACGCAAGTAAAATGACTACTATAAATATTTAGTAAAGGTTAATTTATCTACCACTAACTACAAATGAAATGTTTACAGCTGTACTCACCTATTTACATCATTTACACTACAGTATTGTATTAACAGGGGGTAATCCTCAGGCTGGACCCTCTCCAGCTCATGGCCCCTTGGCCTCCAGTAATGCTTCAATACATTGAACAATAAACATTATGTCTACAAAGAGGAACGTCAGTACAATATTTATTTTGCATATTAACAGGCATTAAGTAGACACACACTAAGAAAAATTTGTAAATATCTTGACCCAGTAGTGCCTGTGTCATTATGTGGCATGCATATATTTTTTTTATCTAGTAAATACACACAATCCAGCCCAATGTTGTGATTGTAGATGACTGCAGGTTTTGCAATATTCACCTTGCATCTTCCAAGTGACAGTCTTATCCTTACAAAAACCACACTTACTAAAAGATTTTGTACTGTCATTTTCTTAGTAGTCTATAGCATGTATGGAACCTTTCTAGCAATATGCTGCTGCCTTTAACAAATATTTATTTAGCGAGATCTGATACGGTGTGGTAATTTTTGCATAGTACAACAGTAAAAAGTTTACTGTAAAATATTTAGGTGTCTAGAATGTAACTATTTTCCTCACAAGTTCTTCACTTTACATAATGCTATTTTTCATGGATCTCTACCTGTTCCTTCTGTTCAATGATGAGCTATGAATTTTTTTTATATCCTGTATTCAACTTGCTTTGAGCCCTTTTTTCATTTTATACTAAAGAGGCAGTTTACTTCCAGCGAGCATACTAGTTTCCATTGGCCAGAAGAGACTGACAATATTCGATTGTAGTTTCTGTGTTATATTTCTTTGGATATGTACAATGGCTATGAACACTATACAATAACAACTACAGTATACTCTAACATCTATACTTTAAAAAGATATACTCACCAATATACATAGTAATCATCCATATAACCATTACTCTTCGTAACACGGCACTATCCACATTCCACGACCAGAAACAAAAGAATACAGAGTAGAACAGCTCTCCGCCCAGGCCCGTAGCAAAGAAGAAGAGATGGTACCAAAACCTATGACAAAGTTTATGCAGTATTTTAACATTACATGTATCCATGTGCTTTGAAAATGGAGAAAACTGGATATATGTTGTATGATATTCCTATATTTTAAAATTGATAACAAGGCTACTTAAACATTTATGAAGGGATTCAGAGAAACTGGCAGGCAGGACTTAGAGTCCTGGAGATGGGAAGTACAGTGCCAGCACTCTGAAGGAGGGGTGTTAATGTTGCAGTTTTATAACTGTAGTGTGAGCTAACCTCTGGTAAGACAGTGATGGAGTGAATGATGATGAAAGTTTTTCTTTGGTAAGACAGTGATGGAGTGAATGATAATGAAAGTTTTTCTTTTTCTGGCCACCCTGCCTTGGTGAGAAATAGCCGATGTGTTAATAATAAATTAAACATTTACAAAATTAAGTTCAGTATCTGGTTTTTCCTCAATTCAAATAATAAGCAATTGCGCTCTTACTCGCTTACCTAGAGTCCACCTGGAGGGTGTTCCAGGGGGTTCAGTGCCCCGTGGGCCAGTACATGACCATGACAGACCTCCAACACACTCTTCTGAGAATGTCATTTTGCAGAAATGTACATTAACAGTAGGACTGTTCATTCTCCTAACTGTACACATTCTTAATTGATCATTACCGAAATCGAATGCAAAATGCATCAAACATTTGTATTTTTTTCTGCATCATCATACACCCATGTTTAACAATAATCTTTGCAGTTTCAGTTTTAGATTGAGACACTTATGCACCATATGGAAATCCCTAACTAGGAAACGTTTCGCCACACAGTGGCTTCATCAGTCCAATGCAAAGCAGAGAGGTGCAAGAAGAGGAGGAGATTGAGGTAATCAGTCCCTCAGCCTGGAGTCAATGTGTTCAGTCCATCAATCTTGTAGAATGTACAGCATAGGGCTGAACATATCGACTCCAGGCTGAGGGACTGATTACCTCAGTCTCCTCTTCTTGCACCTCTCTGCTTTGTATTGGACTGATGAAGCCACTGTGGCAAAACGTTTCCTAGATAGGGATTCCCATATGGTGCATAAGTGTCTCAATCTTCAACTTGTCGGTTTTCAGAACCATTCATCACACACAATTTCAGTTTTAGTAGAGATCAACTTCAATGTCATAGATGATATGCAGATATGAAAAGGAGAGATACATATTATCATAATAATAATGATACTGAATACAACATGCGCAACATTTAGGCATCTTCATTGTTGAGATGGTTCTAATTCTTCAGTCAAATAGAAGCAACTAATTTATTGAAGACAACTGAACTGTAAATTTTTGGGTGTTCAGTCCCTCAGCCTAGAAAGTTACAGCTGAAGTGGAGATTTTGAGGTGCTCAGTTCCTCAGTTTTGGCAGAAATGCATTGCATACTAGTGACTTTCTTTTGTACCTAACAATGTTTTATTATATTTAAACTACATTATTTTTGACCTGCATAAGAAGAAATAAAAATCTGAATTTGAAGTGTTCAGTCCTGCAGCCTAGACAAGAGGTATTTAGTTCCATATATTTGAGCAATCTGTAGTGGCACATACTGCATGCATCTTACCTACTTGTCAGTATCGTATACCATTAATATAATGCAACATCATGGTATCTTGCAACAGAGGACACCTGCAACTTTTCTGCTCTGCAATTATTGGGATATTCTTATGTGTGAGGTAAAACATCTCAGCAATAAACATACTTAAATGTTGCACAAATGTTTCCTTTAGGAACAGTAATCAAATATTAAAAAAAAATACTTGATAAACATGGTATCAATGTGGAATGAAATGGTCGAGGCAAGTTACTGGGTGCTCACCTTACATGTGAAGGTTCAGGAAACAGGAGATGAGCTCCCTTCTGGACTCGAGATGGATGTGAAACATGCCTTTTGCTTAAATGATCTAATAAAATTCTATTACACATTCACAAAGCAAATACCATCTCAACTCGAACCTCTCTCCTATTTAATGCCGAAACTATTTTAATGTTCTTGATCCGTGCATTCGTGCCACATTATCAAATGTATTGCATATTAACATTACTGTATAAAAAAACAAGTAACATCAGTTTCACCTACAAAGCTTTACCTGTCTTTGATTTCAAAAGAGTTCTCTTCCACTTCTGACTCTGAGACAGTGCTGTCTTCCTCCATACTTCCCTCCATTCCTCCAGTATTTTCCCCAAGCAGCATTCCCATCCAGGATCTGCCTGGTGACATACAGTATATAAATTTACTTTCAAAAAGTTTGTAATCTTAAATGGTAGGTTTGGCTTATTACATTTTAAACAAGACAATAACACAAAGAAAAAACAACAAGATCACTGCCTCTTGAACATCTTACACATTAAATTTTGAACATATGATACCAAGAGACTACATGTATTCCTGTACGAGATATATGCAATAATAAATGGTTATGAAGAAAAAAATCCTGGAAAGACATGGCTGGAAAAATTCACGATTAGAGATAATACTCTAGATGTTTGTCTGTCCTGACCTTCATAATGGCTCAGAATATACTGAAACATCAGCTTAAGATTTATTTTCAATTTATGAGTCAGCTGTGAATAAGTAGTTAAGATAATCGAGTCATGCCATCTATGAATAAAGTTATGTGTATACTTAGGAAAACCAAGACTTACAATTAAAACGAAGATCACAAGATTTTCTTACCACTGCCATTGCTGCTGTCACTTGCCACACTTGTAATGCTCACTGCAGAGTCCTGACGTGAATGTGTCTTGTGTGTATCCGTGTCGGCCAGCCTCTTATATTTCCTTCGAAGGTGCAACCCTTGTTTACTTGACTGTTCATCCAAGTATCGTTCCATAATATTGGTTTTTATTTCTCTGTTATGCGAATTTGACACAGATGCACATAAGTGATTACTACCAACATATTTCTTGACTCTAGTAGCCTCCACACGACGTATTCCAAAGAGATGTTGAAAGTTAGCCACAAGTTGTGGATCTTGAAGCTTCTGTAATACATCCATTTCTTATTTTTTAAATGATGATTTAGTAATCTTGGGGTCTAAGGCATACCTGTCTGAAAAAAAAAAATTAATAATGTATATAAAAAATGCATTAGATTTAAGTATAAATATAACTATATACATTTAAGAAAATTAAAGAGCACTTCCGGTGTACAGCTTCAACTACTTTAACTGGAGTACTCCAGAATTCAAGGTTCATGTATGTCAAAAAGGCTAATGTAGTTTTATGAGGTGGTAGTGTATTAAGAGGCTAATTTTTTCTAAGAGGGTAGATAATTTCTAAGAAAAATTCAAACGTCAAATGAGAATACTAAAGTTAACTAATTTTTCATTGTGACAAAAGAGTTCCTTACTCTTAGGCAAGTACAGTAAAGTTCACTTATAAGCTTCAATATAAATTCCTGATCTACACATCTATTCTTTCTAAATCCTTCATATTCTTTTACAGTCCTACTGTTTTATCCTTAACACTTTCAACAATATTGTTACTGTACAACTTACCTGGTATATTCAACACATTTATTCCCTTACAATTCTTACTCTCTTATTCCATTTTTCCTTATACAAAGGAACTATGGCTGCTCTCTGCCAATATTTACGTGCTTTATCTTCTTTTATGCACATAATGAACAAATGTACCAACCACTTCAAAACCTTATCCCCCACTTACTTTTAACATATCATTCAATATCTTGCAGTGTTTTTATTCTCTTTTATTCAACTTAATGCCTCATGCCGTTTTTTCACACCGTTCATTTCTTCATGCTTCTTTACCCTACCAGATCTTATTACTCCCTGCCCAATGCAAGGAATCACTGCCTCCCTTTCAGCATCAACAATTAAAGTCTAAAATATTCCCTTCATCTTTACATTACTTCCATCTCTCCATCTAACATCTCCCTCTCATTCATAACTCTCAAGTTCATTGTCTCTATAGGCTTTCTTAACTTCTAATCCCTCTGGCAAGCAATATTTTGAAACTGAAAGAAACCCAAAGTATTTCTTTTCTTATGCCAAATCAAAGTCTAGAACAACATCCAGTACTGGGCCCCTACTTAACCCTTAAACTGTCCAAACGTAGATCTACGTTTATGTGCGTAGCACTCCAACCTTTATTTTCTCCATTTGAAAGCATGTAAAAAAACATAGATCTACGTTCGGAGTGCTACGCACGTTAACGCAGATCTACGTTTGGACAGTTTAAGGGTTAAATGGGATGGGTCCTACACAGGTGACAGCAAGGAAAGGAGTGAGCTACTCAAGTCCCAATATGACTCGGTTTTTAGCGAGTCACTAACCAGACAGAGTCGAAGACCTAAGTGAATTTTTTATGAGAGAGAGAGAGAATTTGGTAGAAACACACCTATCTGATATTATCCTGATGCCAAATGACTTCGAAAAGGTGATAAATGACATGCCCATGCACTCTGCCCCAGGCCCAGACTAATGGAACTCCATGTTCATCAAGAATTGCAAGAAGCCCCTATCACGTGCTTTTAACATACTGTGGAGAGGGAGCATGGACACTAGGGTCATCGCACAGTTACTAAAAACAACAGACATAGCCCCACTCCACAAAGAGGGCAATAAAGCAATAACAAAGAACTAAAGACTGATAGTGCTAACATCCCATATCATAAAAATCTTTGAAAGGGTTCTAAGAAGCAAGATCACCACCCGTCTAGATACCCATCAGTTACACAACCCAGGGCAGCATGGGTTTAGAGCAGGCCGCTCCTGTCTGTTCCAACTACTGGACCACTATGGCAAGGTCCTGGATGGTCTAGAAGACAAACAGAATGCAGATGTAATATACACAGACTTTGCAAAAGCCCTTGACAAGTGTAACCATGGTGTAATAGCGCACAAAATGCGTGATACAGCAATAACAGGAAAAGTTGGTAGATGGATCTGTAATTTCCTAACAAACAGAACACAAAGAGTAGTAGTCAACGGAGTAAAGTCTGAGGCAGCTACAGTGAAAAGCTCTGTTCCACAAGGCACAGTACTTGCCCCCATCTTGTTCCTCATCCTCATACTGGACACAGACAGGGATATAAGCCACAGCGCAGTGTCTTCCTTTGCAGATGACGCCCGAATTTACATGACAGAGTCCTCCATTGAAGACACTGCAAGACTCCAGGCAGACATCAACCAAATCTTTAAATGAGCTGCAGAAAATAATATGAAGTTCAATGATGAGAAATTCCAATTATGTACTCAGATATGGAAAACGTGAGAAAATTAAAATGTCATCGAAGTATAAAACAAATTCCAACCACACAAAAGAGCAAAAAACTAATGTCAAAGACCTGGGGTGATCATGTCAGAGGATCTCACCTTCAAAGACCATAACAATGTATCAATCACATCTGCTAGGAAAATGACATGATAGATAATGAGAACCTTCAAAACAAGGGATGCCAAGCCCATGATGACAATCTTCAGGTCACTTGTTCTATCTAGGCTGGAATATTGCTGCACACTAACAGCACCTTTCAAGGCAGGTGAAACTGCTGACCTAGAAAATGTACAGAGAACCTTCACGGCACGCATAACTCTGATAAACCACCTCAATTACTGGGAACGCTTGAAGTTCCTAAACCTGTTCTTCCTAGAATGCAGGAGGGAGAGATACAAGATTATATACACCTGGAGAATCCTAGAGCGACTAGTACCGAACTTGCACACGAAAATCACTCCCTATGAAGTAAAACACTCGGCAGATGGTGCAACATCCCCCCAATGAAAAGCAGGGGTGCCACTAGCACGATAAGAGACAACACAATAAGTGTCAGGGGCCCAAGACTATTCAACTGCCTCCCAGCATACATCAGGGGGATTACCAATAGACCCCTGGCTGTCTTCAAGCAGGCACTGGACAGACACCTAAAGTCAGTACCTGACCAGCCGGGTTGTGGTTCATACGTTGGATTATGTGCGGCCAGCAGTAACAGCCTGGTTGATCAGGCCCTCATCCACCATGAGGCCTGGTCACAGATCGGGCTGCGGGGGCACTGACCCCTGGAATTCTCTCCAGGTATAATTTCAGTTAGCATTTAAAAATGTGCCTTTCTAACTAATTATGGAATGCTGCACTGAAATTTGAGCTTAATTTTTGCTACAACAAGCACAGTTTCTGTGACACAGAACCTTCATGGTAAACTATTTTACTACGGTGTCCCGTAGCTCGGTTGCTAGAGCACTCAGTTCACACGCTGAAGTCCAGGGGTCGATCCCTAGTATGGGTGTAAACATTTGAATACGTTACCTTAAGGCACCTGCTGTATGTTACCTATCAGTAAAAATAGGTACCTGGGAGTTAGTCGACTGGTGTGGGTCACATCCTGGGGATAAAATTGACCTAATATGCCTGAAATTCTCCACATAACAGGGTGATTTCTACACAGTAATACAGTGGACCCCTGCCTTATGAACGCATCACGTTATGTTAAATCCGCCATACGAAGCATTTGAACGCAAAAATTTTGCCTCGCCTTACGTGATTCATCCGGGATACGTCCCATGTGTGGCCTCAGCACCAGTGTTTACAAGCCAGCCAGTGCGATCGCATCTACTCATACATTTGGTACATTTCACATTATCCCAGTGTTTTTAGTGCTTGTAACTGCAAAATAAGTCACCTTGGACCCCAAGAAAGCTTCTAGTGCCATCCCTGCGGTAAAAAGGGCAAGAATTAGTATGGAATTGAAAAAAGAGATTAAGGAAATGTGTGCAAAGTGGGTTGAACTGCAAACCTTTACGGATGAAAATCACCCTGCCACAGCTACTGCAAGCCGTGTTGGCAACCTGTACAATGACAATGTTATGGGCCATTTTAGGAAAGTCTTAAAGGAACGAGAGGTACAGAGCTCTATGGACAGATTTGTTGTGCGACAGAGGTCCAGTGACTCTCAAGCTGGTCCTAGTGGCATTAAAAGAAGAAGGGAAGTAACCCCAGAAAAGGACTTGAGGTAGCAAGTCCTAATGGAAGGGGATTCCCCTTCTAAACAATAATTCCACACTCCCCTCCTCCCATCCCATCAATCATCACCAGATCTTCAATAAAGGCAAGTGTCATGTATTCTATTCTTCGTAGAGTAGTAATTGTGCATGTCTTCTTCAGTTTGTGTGTATTAAAATTAATATTTCATGTGGTAAAAAAAAATTTTTTTTTTTTTCATACTTTGGGTTGTCAGAAACGGATTAATTTGATTTCCATTATTTCTTATGGGGAAAATTAATTGGCCTAACGATAATTTCGGCTTATGATGAGCTCTCAGGAACGGATTAATATCGTAAGGTAGGGGTCCACTGTATGTCATGATGTCAGCTAGACCTGTATACTTTGTACAAATATTTGTAGTAATAAATATTATTATAAATGTCAGCTAGGTCTGTATGGGTTATACATGTGTAGAAATACAGTGTAAAGATTATTATTATTTTTATTATAAGACATAGCCATCACAGAGAAGAGATATCAGGGGAAACTTGACAGTCCGATGGCAGATATGGCTGCACACTGGTGTAATTTAATGTTGGATTTGAGAAGGATTTCCTAAGTATGGGCCAGTAGGCCTACTACTGTGCTCCTCTATTCTGAAGCAGACCAAAAAAAAAAGCCAAGCAGTTTGGCCTATTTCTGTTGGGATCCTTAGGTCCTTCCTCAGGAATATATCCACAACACTTCTCCTATGTACTGTATCTATTTACAATACAGTAAATCGACAGGAGCAGCAGGTGCTGGGACACTTGCCCGGTCACCAGAACCCCAACAGCAAAAGCCTGGTTGACCAGGCAAGCACCAGATAAGCCTGGCCCAAAGCCAGGCTCTGGGCTCCATCTGAGATCATATATACCCAGGATGACTCGAGTATGGAACACATTCGTACAGCATAATGATGTCAACGAGATAAAGTCAGTTGATCAAATGAAAATGCTGGCCCACAGATGGCTCCAATTTCATCCTGTTCCCTACTTGTATGTCTCATAACAATAAAAATGCTTTCAAATGAGCTGATGTAGGTAACAGCTCTTAGCTTGCCAATAA